CTCAAGCAAAACTAAGGAATAAAATCATAAGTCAAAACATACAAATTACTCATGCTCTCTCTTGCACAACCTTTCAAACCACCAACCCACTTGCTACAAAACTACAAGCTTCAAGAATCAAATTAGTTTGGCACATAAGAGACCCATTTCCAAGCCAATAACCAAGTACCAAGAATTTAAAGTATGTGAGGATCAAGTGTGTACAAGTACTCAGTTGAGATTATGCAAGACACGGCTCATGAATGAGATCCCATAGGCTTGCCCTTCATACTCCCCTAGATCAAATCTAAGAATTCATGCTAAGATCAAATAGGACTTTATTAAGCTTGTAATGGGGCTACGGGTGATAGCTAACAAAGAAGTGGTATGGAAAGATTAATCAAAAAGAGAGAATGTCACAATTTATCTAAACTTTTCAAAATTTGGAAGAGATGAGATAATCATAATTCCAAGGAGCAAATTTCTTTTAAGAACTTAGCGACTCTTTGGTAAAGTGGGGATCCAAACTCAAAAACTTTCAATCTTTTTTTTTTTTTTTTTTTCATTTTTTTCTTTGTCTTTGGACTTCTTTTGGATATAGCAAGATAATTTTAATCCAAACTTTCATGACCTCCACACTTGAACATTTGTAACACTAGCTGTTTCTTTTTTTGTAGCACAACTCCATAAAACTCTTCTTACGGAAAAGATGAAGATAAAAGTTTCATTCTCTCAAGGGTGGATGGGAAATATTTGGCCAAGGGCTAAGGGTTATAATAATGGGGTAAATCAAAGAAAAACAATCACAAAGAGGGGATAAGTGCTTAGCACTTATTTGAACAAACAAAAGGCACAATGGAGAAACGAAGGATAAAAAAAAATAAAATAAAATAAAAAAAAAAAAAATATATATATATATATATATATATATATATATATATATATATATATATATATATATATATATATATGTATATATATATATATATAGGGACAGGTTTAAAGGCTATGTCTAAACAAAAATGGCCTAAATCACTTCAAAACATGCAAAACTTAGACATCACTTAGGGAGTAATGAGGCAAGTTCTAACAAAACACCCATGACCGGAATCTCACATAAGCCTTCACTAGCAATGCAAAACACAAGATCAAGAACTAATCCAATTATTAAGTGGTTAACAAAGCTATTGGCAAGGGAATAGATCAAATATGTGTTACACCTCAAATCATCCATCACAAATTGAGATGCAACAAGCACCACTAAAACAAACCACAAACCAACAAGAGAGAATAATTGTAACTGCATGCTAAGACAAGTAACTTATTCACCAAAAATAGCATATGAGTCATCCAAGCAAAAGCAAAAATTTTAAAAATTTAGAAATATCCCCAAATTAATGATTCCTCCCCCTCACACTTAAAACTTTGCATCGTCCCTGATGCAAAATAAAAGAAAAGGAGAATAAGAGAAAAGAGAAAACTAAGAAGCAATAAAATAATCACGAACTAGAAAATAATAAAACTAAATAAGTCGAAATTAGAAAGCAATAAATAAATAAGGAAAGTAATAAAAGATAACATGGGGTGCCTCCCATGAAGCGCTAAATTTAACGTCGTTAGCTCGACGTTACCTCTCTAGCCATCAGGTGATTGGAGAAGAAAAATCCCCTTCTTTCCATCAACTTTCTCTTCCAAGTATTTCTTCAAGTGGTGTCCATTTATAAACTCTCTTAAGCTCGAACCCTTCACGTCATCATGTAAGGAACCACATTTGCCCGAATCAAGAATTATGCCTCCATTCTCTTTTCCTTCTTTTTCAACACTCTTTTGTTCAACAAGTAATGAGAGTCTCGGATCATTCACATGAACCAGCAAGTATTGGGAGTCATTGGATATATAGATAGGCAAATGTGTGCCATTATCCTTAAGAACTCCAATGCCTCCCAAATTCAAAATTTCTCTGAAGTTCTCTCCAAGGGAAGTGTTCTCCATTTCAATGCATTTATCAAGTATTTCTTCATCTTCCTTTCTAAGATCCTCATCATCCTTTTTATTTCTCTCAACTTCATGACCTTCATTTGGCAAGAGCAACTCTTCTAGAACCTCTCCATTAAATGAATCTTGAAGTGGCTCTTGAATTGTCAAATCTTGCTGTCGAGCCATCATGTGATCGAGTCGAGCATCCATGCGATCAAGTTGAGCATTCATGTGATCTTGTAACTCCAGATATTTTGAGCACAATTGCATTAACTTGGTCTCTTTGGACTTCATCTCAATTATTTGGTCAAGTGATTGACAATCTTGTTGAAACTCTTGGTACGGCAACTCTTGAGCTCGCCCTTGATACTTGTAATTAGGATCCATGATAAAGCAATTTTCCGCCTCATGAGATCCACCACATATCATGCACCGTGAGGGTTGTGGAGTAGGTGGTGTGCATATTTGATAAGTAGCTTGACTCTTGTTGGCACAAAATCCTTGAGTAGATTGTTGAGGGATATGGTTGGTGGGGTTGAGCATGTAACAATTTTCCACAAAGTGATTCCCACCACAAAATGAGCACCATTGGGGTTGTGATGTTTGATATGAATTTTCTTGATAATATCCTTGACTAGAGTTGGCAAAATTTGAGAAAGGGAATTGTTGTTCCATTCCTCCATATTCTCGATTCATATTCCAACTCATCTCATAACCTTGAGAAGGAGGGTAAAACGGTGGCATGGTTCCTTGGAATGCATATCTATCCATAAACTAAATCACACTCAAAACAATGAACTTGTTATGGGTTAGCAAAATAAAATAAAATAAAAAAAATAAAAAATGGACTAGTCTCCTAGAATAAAGATTTCACTAATCTTAATACTAGAAGCACCACCTCCCCGGCAACGGCGCCAGTTTGATGCGTAGTATATTTGCAAACAAATAATTCTCGGAGTACGAGTTATCGATCCACAGGGAAGTGGTTGTATCAAGCACTAGTTACTAACTTATTCATTAGAGCTAATCCTAACAATTACTTGGATGATTGATTGGCATAAAATAAATAAAATAAAACAGAGGTTCAGGATTTTGAAAACAATTAGAGAGAAGTTGAGATTCATGGGATTCAAGTATTTAATCACCTAGTACTAATTATCGTTTGCAATATTTAGTTTGGAATTAAGATTTGTGTGGGAATGCAAAGTGGAATCGAATTACTCCCGTAATCTCTATTCCTAGTGAATTTCCACTCCCATGGCTTAAACACCCAATAAGATTAAAGATCAGCATTCAATTAATCGTAATTACTACCATCTCCCGATTGGCAACAATCTAGAATAAACTTCTCCTAATAAGTTCCCCTTTCCCAAGGACCAACCATTAGGTGCAATTGTGTGTGCCCTAATTTATGCCCCAACTCCCATTGGTGACACAAACATGGCTATGAAGCTAGTAACTATGGCCATTAATTACAAGCATCAAACAATATTATCACGATTGCAACACAAGTATTAAACCCAAATAATAATATTTTAAAGAAACTGAGAGCTCAGGCACATAGGTTCATAAACAATTTTACCCAAGAATCTCTAAAGAATTTAGCCAAGCATGACTAAATTATACATAGCAAATATAAATAAAGAATTACAAATCATCAAAAGAGTACAAGAATTAACCAGACGATTTTCCCAAATCTCCCTAGTCTTCTTCTTGCTTTCCAAGACAACTTGTGGCTCTTGATTTTTCTCCTTCTTGTCTCCAAGAATCTCTGAATTCTCGCGGTCCCCCCCTATTAGGGTTGAGGAAGGAGGGATTTTATAGTGGGTACAAAGTTGAGATGAAATAGGAATCTTGTACCAAATTGGACTCAAATTCTAATTCCTATATTTAAATAAGGAAATTGTCGTCCTTAATGATATTTAGAATTTGGAAGATTCCTTGAATTGCTAACTTTTAATATGGAGATATGAGCCTTGAAATCCGCGCAATTGATATTAGGAAAAGAGATCTCGCGCTTGTATTGAATTTTGCCCAGCTGCGCCACTTTAGGCGTCTGTTTTTTTATCCGCGCCACTTTAGGCGTCTGTTTTTATCCCAGAAACAGACGCATATTCGACGCGTCGAGAATTTTCTCGACACGTCGAGACTTCCTGTGCGCGAATTAATTAGCTACTGGAAAATTTCGACGTGTCGAGCCCTTGGCTCGACGCGTCGAGTCCACTGGGCCCCGAACTCATCCAAAATTTCTCCAAACTCATCCTTGAACTCCCCTTGGTCATATCTTTGACCTAAAATGGTTCAAAAACACTAACAAACACCGTAAAATATTCAAAAAAAGTGCAAACCATAATTAAATGATAATAGCAAGGAAAACATGTATTAAATAAGCAAAATTAAAGAACTTAGTTACTGGATGATTCAAAATAACCATAAAAACAAGCACAGATGTGATAACATCACTCTGCTATAAGGCTAATAAAGTGACATTGAAAATGTCAATTTGAGTCAACAAAGGCAATTAATATGACACGGAAATCTTTGAGTAATTGAAAAGATATAGAACGGTCATTCAATCTCCTGTAACACCTGTGATCTTCATATTTTGCTATAAAAGGAGAAGTTATCTCAAATGAAAATCATCCCATCTCATTCTAAAACGGTCAATCACCATGCCTCCAAGAAAGCCTTTCACCAGAGATGCTGCCAAGTGACAAAAAGAAACTGCACGTAAGATACGTGAAGAACAGGGTGATCTTTACCCAGGTAACAATATAGGAGCACCATTAGAGGTTTCATCTGATGGTGAACCGTTCCCACACAACGAAGGGTTCCTGGTTGATGATTCAAATTAAATAACTCATCTCTAGTTGTAAATCCAAATGCGGGACCTTCTCCAGTCATCAAGAAGAAAGGAAAGTCAAAAGTGTTTCCATCAGAGGAAGATTGGAATAACCCGTATTTTGACAGAGACTATCTCATGTTTCTCAATACCTATGATGGAGAAACTGAGCCAGATGATGAAACTGAAGAAGAACCAGAACCCAACTCTTCGACTGACTCCACCCTCTCAAATCTTACGGACTGGTTTACCCGACAGATCTTCAAGGAATTCAAGAAAAAGGGGGAAACCAGCTTCAGCTCGAAAGGAAAGGGAAAGAAGTAAGTTTCAGCTGATGTCTAGAAGTCTGATGGAGCAGTCTTAGTAAAGATCATTATGTGATCTTTCATGTTATCTATAAATGTTAAGTGGGTTGTCTTGTAATATGGATGTTTCGTGTTTCTATCTATTAAATAAACGTTTTCGTATTGCTGGAATCAGTACTATAATTCTCACTGAAACTTCATCTGGATCTTGAACACGAGAAGTTTAATCAACACTCTCCACGAAACATTATTTGGTTTGTGGGAACTCATAAATTCTTATTCGATTAAATCAATTATGGATTCTTTCCATAACTTACATATTGGAAAGGTCTACAATCCAACCGTACGATGAGAAAGTGGAGGAGGATCGTGTGACCGAGAAAATAGGTCCACTACCCCATGATAATGCATGCCGCGTCAGTTGAGAGGACATGCATTAAATGTCCATACCCCCATACTCGAGTATCTTCTCTCTCCACATTAAATGCGGAATGATTCTCCTTGATTTGCTATTTGCCTTATCAGAATAATTTCTACAGTGTTTTAACTCTTTTGTGAATAGTAATAAAAAATACCAGGGTCATATACAGTTTTCTACCCACGCCTCCTTCATTCAAATTCCGGGTAACCCATATTGCTTACCCGATCCTGAACCAACCCACTCACTATTTAACCTAAAACCCCACTCACCATCCCTTTCCTTCTCAGATACGTTTTCTCATCTTCGTCATCTTCCCTAAGCAAACAAAACTCTCTCAAATTTTCTCTGCCTTCCATTAACATCAAAATGGAAAAGAAACCACGATCAAAATCTTCCACCAAGAAGGCCAAGGGTACTACCACGGAAGAGTTGCTTCCTTACCCCATTACTGATGAGAAGTTTATTCAAGCACGGATGCAGTTCATTGCTTGCGGCTTCATGTGGAATGCCCATGGGTTTTGTCAATATGTTATTGATAAAAAGTTTGGTGAAAAGGCCATCACCTTGCTCAAAGATAGAGGACTCTACAACTTCGTCACCCACACCTACAAGTTCTTCTTCGCTCGTGATGTGGCTCAATTCTACCTTAATGCTAAGATTTCCTCCGATGCTATAACCATCCACTATGTGGTGAATGACAAGGAAATCTCTGTGACAAGTGTAGATATTCAAATGGGCATTTGATTTTCCAAAAAGAGATGATTCCTATCACTCAGATTTCTCTCAGCATACCTTCGATCATCAAGCCTTCTATGACAGCATTCGAAATGCCCAATCTTCTGCAGAAATCGAATGGCCATTGAAGAAGAAATGTTTCAAACTTGATTATGAATTCAATGTGGACATCTTCAACAAAATTGTGGAGCACAAGACATCTGGGACGGATGATGTCTCAAGGGACAAATTGAAAATGCTCCATGCATTTCTGAATAGGTTCAAGATTGACTGGTCGAAAGTTGTCTTCGACTTTCTTAGGATAAATGTGGCCATTGGCAAAACAAAGCACGGAGACTTATCGCGAAAGATCAATTTTGGCTTTATGATCGGACGCCTTCTAAACTACAAGAAAGTTACTCTTAAAGAAGGAACCCCACCTGGCCCGAAAGTGTATCATATGAATTCCAAGCCGCTTGGTTGTGACAAACAAAGAGCAGTGGAGATGCGCGTGATTGTTTCTAGTCCAATCAAACCCGAAAAGAAGTCCAAAAGGAAGAAGATCTCCGATACTGACCAACCCACGAAGAAGAGGCAAAAACGAGAGAAAAGGGAGAAGTTAACCACTAATGAAGTCTCGGTACCAGTTCCATCCTCAACCAATCTCTCTGCTCCACCTGACTTGGAAGAAAGTGGGCAACCAAGAGAACTAGCATTGGTTACTGCAGCTTCTGATCCAACCCCGGCTGCTCTTCAAGATGTATCGAAAGATAAAACAGGGAAGAAAGCTCTCGCCAAGCGAAAAGCAATACAGACACCTTCACCGAAAGCTCAACATATTAGAAGTTCTTCATCTGAAGCAACTCAAATTGAAAAATCATCAGAAGACGAAAGTTCAGATCTGAGTCGAGTTGCTCAAACAAATGAAAGATACAGGCCAACGAACGAAAAAGCACAACAAGTACTACTCCGACTTGCTCTATGACCCACTGTCTCCAGAACTTTGAAGTCGAAAGAAAAATCAGATTCTCTACCGCATGATGCCTAGGGGGAAGGCAAAACGAGACGCTCATCTCAAGTCCAGAATCTTTCCGTCTGTGTTATATATATATATATATATATATATATATATATATATATATATATGTATATATATATATATATATATATATATATATATATATACATATGTATATACATATACATATGTATATACATATACATATGTATATACATATACATATATATATATATATATATATATATATATATATATATATATACCAGAAATTTAAATTCTATTATTCCTCTCCATTCAAAATATTCATTATCCTGCCAAAATGCTTGGACCCTAATGTTTTGCGATCTTCCATCCGTTTGAAAAAAAAAAAAAAAAAAAAAAAAAAAAGACTTCATTAAAAAAAATTTCAGCTGCCTCCTCGACGTCAGCATTGTCGACGCAGCTCCTTCTTCTTCAGCCGATTAGCAACCAGTAGGGATTGTCACAATCACCAACAACGACACAACCGGAATTTATAATCCTCGGATTATTATTCCAACCAAAAGGAAACGGAGTGTAGTACAAGGATTTTTGCTTAGAGCATAATCCCAAAACCGGAGACGAAAGAGGAGTGTTTAGAAGGCTCGTGTTTGGCGTATTTGCCACCTCCCAAAAGAGAACACAGCAGCAAGAATGTGCATCAAGACTTTTTTATCTCAATTTGGGATTTGATTTGCACTCCCCCTACGCGCGAAAGAGAGCCTTTGAGCTATACAATTCAATAAGTTTTAAAAGTGTTCTTGTATAAATAGTGGGGCAAATCCTCTTCTCAAACCAATATGGGACAAAAGCTTCACTTTTTTCTTTCATTTTTTCAACTTAATGGGTCTACTTTGAGAATCAATATCTCATTCACCTATTATCCATTTTGAGTGCACAATATATCAATCTCTTCGTCTCACTACGAAAAACCCGAATCCACTTTGACACGATCCAAATTGAAAGTGGACCCCATTGATAATTGTACCAAAAAATAGGTACTTAAAATGCCATTTTAATACTATTTTTGCAAGAGGATTAACATGGATATTAAATTTATTGAAGATCAAGTCCCGAGTTTGCTGACATCCTTGGATAAGGATTAGAGTTCACGATTGAGTTAAAAGATGAAGATGACATCTTTGAGGGGGATATTTTCAAATTTTTATATGTACAAATAATCTCTGTATAGACTCAATTTTCTTTTAATATATAATAACTCTCATTTATATTTATTTGGTTACCAATCTACTGCCATAATGCAGTAGATATTATCCTTCCGATCACAATACTTTTTTTTATTATTATTTTAATTTATATCTACTGCTTAACTAAATGCATTTCTTTTATTTGGATAGTATTCATCTCTAATGTTTGGCAGTTTTTTTATCTAAGTTTTTTTTTTTTTTGGATTTCTTTTTTTTGGACAATTGCAGGTATTGCAGCTGTACGTACTAATGTTCATGGAGAAAGGATTTTTTTGGCAGTTTTTGAAGTGAAACTTCTGTAATAAAGTGTAAAGAATATGTCTGTATTTTCTATTTTACAGGTATTTTGTAACTTTTATTTTGTTCCAAAGTTATTATATACCAATGGTTCTGTTATACCAATCTCTTATGTCAATTAGGAACTAGGTATTTTTACATAGATTCTAAAAAAGATTATTTATATAACAACAATTAATATATATCAGTTAGGAACTAGGAAGGGGTTGGTTGTCGGACTGCTGAAACGAAAAACGCAAAGACGAAAGTCGTAGCCTGAAGCTTCTGGAAATGGATGGATGGATTGAGGAGTGAAGAAAGAGATGGGAAAGGGGTTGGTTGTCGTACTTATTATTATACACAGCTTAATTTTAAGGCACTGTTGGTATTAATATACTTTTTTAGATTTTTATATATAATACATTTTTCCTTATTACAAAATTAGTTAAATAAATAATTTGTGACACAGGAAAGTTATATATAAAATTGGTTTTAAATATGATGTTTTCTTACTATGTTTGATCAATAAGTTGCTTATCCTTTTCATGTCAAAAAACCTTTTAAACATAACATAATAAGAAAACTAATATTTTTAATTTAAATATTACACTATATGGCTTTATTTGCATTTCAAATTTAACTATATACATATATATATATATATATATATATATATATATATATATATATATATATATATATAGTGAAAGGTTCCCGTGCGGATGTGCAGTGGATTAATGTGCGTGAGATTTGTACTCAATGTGCGTGAGTGTTCTGCTTAATGTGTCTGAGATTTTGTACTTAATGTGCGTGAATGTGTAAAATGCAGCAGAAAATATTGATGCCAGCTTCTTCCCCATCCCCAGTAGCCATTGCCCCCTCCCTGATGATGATGATGCGGAGGCGGGCTATGGTGGTTAAGAATTATGGGAATAATACAACAGAAATCTACCCTTAGCTGCTGTGCAAATTTTAATGTGCATGCGTCATCTATATAAACATTCAACTGCACTGAAGGTAGCTGATAATCCAGAATTCATAGCCAAATTGAAGGAAGAAGTAACAAGAAGCTTGGGCGTTAATGTGCGTGAGTTTCTGTTCTGCTTCCTTCTGAGCTCGTAATTCTGAAATACTCACACACAACATTAAGCACGAATCTCACGCATCGCACATTAAACACAATACTCAGGCACATTAAGTACAAAACTCACACATATTAACATGACGCACATTAAGTACAAATCTCAGGAACATCGAGTACAAATCTCACGCACATTAAGTATAAAACTCATGCACATTAATCCATTGCACAACCGCACGGGAAGCCACAAATGCACCTGATCCCTTCCCTCTATATATATATATATATATATATATATATATATATATATATATATATATATATATATATATATAACCATAACATAAATATAAAAATATTTTAAATTGTAGCCGTGCACCGCACGGGTAAAATACTAGTTATTAAAATAAAAGAGATTTGATCCCCACCCATGTGAATGGAGCAAACCATTTGGTCAGTCCCCTACTACTTAGTGTGCTGACAGTAGGGACAGGGGATTAGTCTTCTGGCTATCGGGTGGATGGATTCCTTTGGGCAACAAAAAAATAAAAGAGATTTTATCACGCGCGCACACACACACAAACACACATAGCATTAGTATGTGTAGACAATATTGATGCACACACTTCTATAAAATTTTCAAACTCCCACCAGTGTACTCAAGTTCTCCATAATATATACTCTTAATCTCATATAACTTATACCCTAAATTCACTACCATTTCTAGTAAAGTCCAATAACAGATTGTATCAACATCAACATCTTCAAATACATTCATTTTTCCATTTAAATATTCTACAACTAGAACCAATATTCCTCCATGACGAAAGTAAATACTGTTTTTTTCAAAGGTTCAGTTCCTGAAATATTATAACTCTAACTTGAGTTTGATAAATATAACTATTCTAAATCAAGCATATAAAAAACGCAAAGAAAATAAAAAATTAGATTTAAAACTAATCTCTCTCCTGCAACAGATACAGTATAACAATTCAGATTATATTTCATAAATGATAAAAAAACAAATAAAATCACAAAGAGACATCATACATATAGCTTAATAGATTTAAGAATCCATGTTTTCAAAGCTGACAGGATCGCAACTAGCATATGACAAATTTGGATTTAGAGTAAGAGATTACAGTTCGCAAATCGCCATATTGCATCTAATCAGAATTTTCAGAGTTTGGTTCAAGAATTGGGATAAAAGTAACTGGAGAATTTTACTTCTATAATTCGTTCATGTGATGTCAAAACGTAATTTGAAGTTAAAGAGTTAAATGGTGGAGACATACCTTGAGTTGTTTCTTCAATTGTATCATTCGTGCTCCTTCTTCTTGAATCCATGAATTTAGGGTTCATGTTCTTACACTGTAATTTCGAAACCAGAGAAATACGAAGAGCGGAAGTGGGGCCATCTGTGAATCAGTGAACGCCTTTTCCTTTTTTATTCTTTAGTGCTTCACAAGGATAACAAATACTATATAATTTTAACTAGCCATAAACAAGTGTTGTGTGTAGCTTAGCGGTGGAGAGCTCATCTTTTAAACTAGAGATTCAAGGTTCAAGTTTTCTACATCTTTTTGGTCCTAATTACAAAACTTAACGGAAAAAGTTAACGGTGTTAAGTATTTTTCTTAATTGTTCTAAATCTTAAAATACAAGGATTAAATTGAACAAAATTAAGGTACATGGACTAAATTGAACAAAATTAAGGTACAGGGACTAAATTGAACAAAATGCTACAGTACAGGGACCTAGCAGGTACTTTGACCGAATAACTTCCTTTATCTTCCACGAGATCCTCGCCATCCTAGAGGAAACAATATGAGTAAGAGTGAGACAATCAACTTCAACAAAAGAAGGGAGCATAACCATTGTATCACACCATTGAAGAGTATAATGCAAAGCTAAGTCTTCGGCCTCAAGAGCCAAGGAAGTCGACACACGAAAACAAAGCCCAGCAACAATCTATCCACGAGAGTCACTGAGGCACGCCCCGGCCCCCGCGCCACTGGTAGGGAACAGTGCATCCGTATTGAGCTTTAACCTCCCCGATGGCGGCGCAAGCCATTTGACCAAAATTGTTGCCCTCCGAGGCGGTGCAACAAACCTGGCAATCAAACCTTCAGAAAGAAGAACGGAGTCTGATGCACCTACGCAGCGAACAGACCAAGAGAAGGAAGATCCATCATAGCCAAATAGCCAACTGTGGAGCCAGGAGCAGAAACAAGCCACCGGGCATGACACACAGCCCGAACAGAGCTAGCATTTCGCAATGATATACCAAAAATACGCTGAAGTGATTCTAGACTCCCTGGATGCGGCTGCAATGCAGGAGACAGTGCTCTAAGCCTTCCCCAAATCTCCTAATACTTCAAACTGGAACAAATTATGGTCACACTGCAACTATACATTGATAGTATTGTTACATCAAATTGTACTCAAATTTATATTATGAGACTTACAAAATATCAGTGAAGAGCACCAACCGACTGACAATATAAATGAATATATTTGAGCAAAACCATCTTAGCATGTAACTAATAAAATGTTGACACCTTATTTTAATCCATATAAATTAATCCCAACAAAATTCTAATTCGATAGAAAATAATGTATGAAACTAAAGCAAAGACGACATTAACATAAGTTTCATAAATTAAAATCCAAATTTTCCGAATAGAAATTACTGAAACTAAACTCCAACTAGAAATGTCAGAAAGCCCCCAACAGAACATGGATAGTAACGAACCCTGGCCTGGTGTGTTATATATGTCTTCAAAACATTAAGATTAAACATTAATTTGGTAGTGCTTCCAAGTCCTTTCTTCGAATAATGGTGACCTGCAAGACGAATTCTTGCCCCAATGATGAAGGCATAAACTCACAGATGCACTGGTCATTTTCTTGAACAAGGTTCCATTTACATAACCTTCACCATCCTCCATACAACCATGTTCGCCCATCACTCCATTTCTTTACGTATGCGTTCCATTTTTTACCTTTCTCATCACACAGGATCACATTTGCAGGCAATTCAATATTGTGATTATCCCTTATGGCTTCAATCGGTATATACTGCAAATTAAATTAAAAATTATGTAATTGAGATCGAAACAAGATCGACATGCCAACAAACTTAGCTTTCACTCATGCATTAACTTAAGAATAAATATAATGCAGTGTACGTGTAGAAGAATTACCAGATCACTGGGTCTTCTTGGCCTGATTTTGGTCACAAAATAAGGATTTTTAGGTTGAACGAAACGTCCTGAGCTGAAAAGCTCAACTCCAAAATGATCAGGAACATCCCTCTTTTTTATCACACTGACATTTTTTTTCTTTTTACCATGGTTGCAGTAGGCGCTGGGCGCTAATCGGGCGCCCGGGCAGCACCTAGCGCCTAAGCGGCCTAGTTGGCGCCTAGGCGGAATCTAGGCGGCGCTAGGTGGTCGCGAAAAAAACAGTAGCAGACTTGCAATTTGACAATTTTAATAAGGTTGTTTTCAACATTCAATCAAATAACACATCCAAATAAATGACATAATGACAATTCATAAGTCATAACATCAAAAGAATATTTAAAAAAACAAAAAAAATCAAATGAAATACCCAAATACTTCAATCATCCAAAGATTGAAAGTATCAAACTAGTCTACGAGTGTATATATGTCATATTATATGTATATGTCATATAAATGGAAAAAATTAGCAAGGTCGAGTCGGTCGGGTTAACTCGACTAACTCGACAGAAATTGACGAGTTAACTCGACGTAATCGGACGAGTTAGGCGCTAGGCGGGCGCCAAGGCGGCCGGTCTCCTAGGCGGGAGTCTAGGGCGGAAATCGCCACGGCCTATGGGCGCCTAGCGCCTAGGCGGGATTTTTACAACCCTGCTTTTTACTAACATCCCTTTTCTTTGCCCTAGCATCCTTTTTCCCAAGATCAACATTCCCTTTTTTAGGACTAACATCCCTTTTTTTCTCTTTAGCAGCTCTCTTAGATCCACCTAAATTAAGAAAACTCTGTAAATAGTATATGAAATATATGACAAAATGAAAATTAAAGAGAAAATCAAGAGAAACTAACTTACTTTCAGTAATGCTTCTTTTTCTCTTGGAACGTGACGTATGATATTAAAAGCCAACATCATTGTTCTCTTCTTCTACATCTATCTCATCCTCGTCTTTCCTAACTTGAGTGACTATATTGACATCAAACTCTACCAAAAAAGCATTATCTTGAAAATTAACATCATTGCCGTTATTATTTTTCAACCCCTTCACTCGAGCTTCTTCACCTTCAATTATTATCTTTTCACAGCCGGATGAGTCAAGTACGAAGAAGTCAAACACAGTAGGATGGTCATAGATAAAAACCAATGTATCTCCATTGATGAAAGAGTTATCCTTTACGAATTTCGCCCAACCATGCTTGAAAAAACAACAATCTCCTGTATAAGTTATCTCTATGTTCCAAACTTTCTTCATACGATTCCTGAGTACAACCTTGCGCTGATATCTCTTCCGTGGTTCCATGTATGATTTGGGAATTTCCTTTTACAAGAAACATGTTAAATTTGTTAAGTTGATGAAAAAACACATTTGTTTTCAAAATTAGGAATGTAAGGTTTAGGTTTAGGCAACAATGAAACACATAAAGGCTCAGTTTCGCAGAGCTTATTTAGGAGCGTATAGCTTATTTTAAGCTACTAATAAGCTATAAATTCTGTTTGATAATGTTCTCAAAATAAGCTCCTAGCTTAAAATTACAATCTTAGTCAGAAGCAAAATATTGTCTATCATTAATTATTAAAATAAAAGAGATTTTATCGTTCACACACACAAACATACATACATACATACATACATACATACATACATATCTATATATATATATATATATATATATATATATATATATATATATATATATATATATAGCATTAGTATATATGTGTAGGCCTCATTGATACACACACTTCTATTCTGAATAAGAAAACAAGCAACAATGAAAACAACAACCCAAAATCCATTTCGATAAAATATTCTTTCTTATTGGTTTGGGTAAGAATAGTTTTTGTGAGGATTTCTAAATGGTAAGTGATATACAGAGTATCTAACATGTACGATATGAGAATTTGAAATCAATGTTGTCAAATATATTAGAAGACCAGTGCGCAGTAGATGAGCGGCACCTAAGTTTCTTAACCATTAAAATAAAATAAAATAAAATAAAATAAAAGGTACAACATAGTCCTACTGGAAAAATAAATTACACTAAGAGCATCCACACTTGTGCATATTGTGGGGAGATTTCAGCATTAATTCTTCCCTACATGAGATAATAACTAGTGTGGAGGGGAAATAATTGAAAAAGAATTGTCCTGCAAATGTGAGGATATTGTCAGGAAAAAAAAAAAAAAAAAAAAAAAAAAAAAAAGAAGAAGTAAGGCTGTGCGCTTTGGCAAAAGCCGGGCGCGTGCAGAGGCGCGTCAGGTGCGCCAGTCGGCGCGCCTGACGCGTCTGATTACTTTTTTTTTTTTTTTTTTCTCTCCCCTCCCACATTCTCTTTCCTAATCACTCTTACATTATCCCCCTTCTCCCCAACCAATGTGGATGCTCTAAAGACCAAAAGAAAAAGTAGAAAAGTAAAAGCCTAGGTAGTAGGTGTGTAAGATTATAAGCCAATAAAGCCTTAAAAGATCAGAAGTTGAAAACTTAGCGGTGGCTTAGACTGTGGTGTCGAAGGCAGAAAAAGGAGTCCAAGCGTAAAACCATTGGTGAGCAGCAAATGTTTTGAGCAAAATAAAATATTCAAAAAAAAAAAAAAAAAGCCGGCCGATTAGTCGATCAGTTGCCTAAAATGGTAGATTTTGCCTAAGTCGCTACTTTAGCAAAATTTCACAATAGAGTTTTCTGTTATCCAACTAAAAATTTATCTAAGATTTAAATAATAAGATTTATCCAACAAAACACACAAAAGGCTATATTCTAGCTTAAACATCTTTAGATTCATTTGCACAAACACATACACAAAGGCTAAAAAAATAAATAGGGTTGTTTTTACAAACCAATTTTTGTGAGCAGGTTTGTTGGCAGAAAATCTTCAAAAAGCTAAAACTCTTCTTTTGCTCGCTTGCCATTTCCTCTGGATCACAACTTCTCGCTTCAATTAAAAATAACTTATTAGAATTTCTAAATGACATTATGCTTATTTATTGTAACTAATACCGTAAATTTTAGGAATCTCATTCAATTAATCGTAACGGAATTGTTGATTATAGTAATTTCATTTAATTAATCGTAACAAATAATGAATATTATAGTAATCTCATACAGTTGACAAATTTGAAAATTAATATGGAGTTATTTTTTGATTTTTTATTGGCTTAATTTTTTTTAGAATTACAATATAAATTAAGCAAACCACTATTTCAAGCGACACCCAAATTACTTGTCATAAAATTATATATAAAAAAAAAATACTTGACATTTAATACATAAAAAATTTAAATAGCTTATTACACTTTACTTTTTCATATTGTCAAAAGTGATAATGAGAATGTACATTATATTCCTAATATCGAAGGGCTTCAAATGCATTAAATATGATTACATAAAAATTAATTATATTAATACATGTACATTAAATGTAAATATAATAATTACTTTTATGTTACCCTTTAAAACATGGCAAATTGGCAAAACATTTGGCACCGAGCTTAGTCAACTAGTACTACCAAACTAATTATTACATTTACGTCACACTTATAAAGGTGAAAACAAATTCTGCACTCTTTTGGTCAAATCCGTTACACATCATTTTTTTTAGTGCAATTTACCTCTCATGTGTAGTTTGTCGACAATTATACATGAATGCGGTTTACCTAGTTTAAACACTCGGGTTGTAGTTGTGAATTTTCATCGATACCTAAAAAAAAAAAAAAAAAAACAAACACATTCAACATTGAGCCCATGAATAACATCCTGCAATTGCATAAAATTAATTCACTCGGCTTTATAATTGGTAATTTCTAATTGTGTTCAAGAATGCGATAGTTTTTTCACTTTATTTATGAATGATGGATTTTCAGCAATCAACAAAGAAACCTCACACATATGCACTCAATATACATAAGACATGAAAGATGGGTATATATATATATATATATATATATATATATACATATATATATACAGAGAGAGAGAGAGCATACCTATGCTTTTAAGTGCAAGTGAAGAACAAAAAGAAGTAAATCTCTATATTGAAATTCCAAAAGTGAATCAACTAGCAAATTTATACTACAAGTTCAACTAAAAACAACAAAGTAACGCATACAAAACAAGAAAAAGCAAACCAAAAATAATCTCATAAGTGAAAAAGAGAACTTACAACACTGATTAAGCAAAGAATTTGACAAGCTCGACAACACTTGAGTTCGGCTAAAGGTTATATAGGAGGTTGATGGCTACATGACATTTTTCTTCACGGGCAGTCCTCTACCATCCATTTGGGTTCTTTATTGAGATTATCAGTTATTTCTATTTTGTGACCCTGTTATTAGCTTTAATATATATTTATTTGCCTTTAAAAAAATTTAACAATTAAGTTATTATGCTATAGTATTTATATATTATATTTAGTTCTGTTATGGATTATGAATTTTAATGTATATTTATATTAGAATTCTGAATTATTTATTAATATAAGAAATAATTAGTACACGGCTGGAAATTATGAAATTTTCGACTACCTGAAAGTGATCTTAAATCAAGTCGAAAGCCAAAAGTGGTCGGAAATAGCAACAAAGGTTTTTCCGGATGCCAAAAGTAGTCGGAACAAGACTTTCGACTTGATTTAAGAGCACTTGTGGTGGGAAATTCCATAATTTCCAGCAGTGGAATACAGGTTGGGTGGAACGTAACGGATGCAAATTTTTAAATTGTACACTTCGAGATGAATTGTGAAATTACGAGAATGAAATATACCGTGGGTAATAAATACAATCAATTAATCTTAGACTATTTCGGATCAAGGTCATCTCTAGCTAGATTACGTGTAATAAAGCTCTATTATTATTAAAAAAAAAAAAAAAAAAAAAAAAAAAAAAAAAAAAACCTTTGTCTTTTCTACACAGATAAATCTAAGTCTTTTATTATACTTTGCTTTGAGATATTGTCAAATGTGATATTGAGAACCTTTTCATTGTAAAAGGATTCGGACGCATTAATTAAGTTGCGACCAAATTGAAAATCATTTGTTATTTAGCATCAAGCCACAAACTAATATCAAACAACAATAGACATTTACTTTACATTATACTTAGTTATTTTTAATTGTATTTATGAACACTACATTTTCTCACTATATTTATGAATGTCAATAAAAGAAAGAATTATAAACAAATGCCTGGTTTAATACAAACCACAGACATTTGCTAAATCTTGCTTGTATAGAATTATTTTTTTCGATATTAGTAAGTGGTGAATTTTAAAATTTGTACTTGTCACAAATTAAAATTAAGTGTATATATATACATAAATACATACACCATCCATATAAAATTTTCTCCGCCCAATATTTTAAATATGAACTTTAATATGAGATGAATGAAATTTACCTTTAAAATTTTTGAACAATTAAGATATTATGTTATAATATTTATATGAAGACAAAGAGAAATACGAGAGATCAACTCAGACCAAAAGATGGAAGGGTCTAACTCTCGGACAATCATCAAATAAGAAGGAAGGACGAAAGATATGGTCTATCTTTCAAAGTAACCTCTCCGAGACAACAAGTCTAAGTCAGACAATCTTTATCAAATGAAACAACAAGAATGTTGTCGACGTCTCAACTGAGCAATCATTCTAGACAAAAGGTGTTCTAGGAATGATATTCACAAAAGCCGAGGACCATTAAATGATTGGTACTCTCTTGTCAGTGAAAAGGACGAAAAGCTATGTAGCTTTTTATCACCAACGGCTACACAGTACAGTGGTATTAAATTCTCTACGCCCATTGGTTATTACCTGCTAGTTATAGGTTCGAAATTTCATCTCCCTCCAACGAATGAATTTCACCTCACCTATAAATACCTCTCTTCACCATTGAAGAAGGTGCTGGTTGTTCAACTGTTGCTATCTTACGAAAAGCTCTTCAAACACTCTAATCTCAAATGCTTTTCATAACCAGCATGTTGTGTTTGTGAAGTTTTCAAAAAGGCTCATCCATCATCTACACTTCACAAACTTGAAGAAGTCTTGCATTTTTTGTCACGTGAAGACTCATCCAGACAACAAGACAAGACTTCAACTTGTTGGAGAAACTCAACATATTCTTTCCAACACTCAACTCTAAGGAAGAAGTTGATAGAGGCGAAGTAAACTCGAGGAGTTGAAAAACCTACCAAGTAGCTGTCCGGCTTAGTGATCAAGGAAGCTAGCTTGAAGTAGTTTGTACTAGGAGGTGTAGTGCAAACCCTTTCAGAAGTTGTGAAGGAAGAGTGGAGTAGGCTTCGTTAACAGCCGAACCA